TTTAAAATTATTCCTATCTCTTCCTTCCCTCTCTAATTTCGACCATGTCTATCCTCCTCCTCCCCTTCCCCTCTCTCTATCAACTTACATCAATTTAAAACTACCCCTCAAAAGTGTATAAAAATAATACGCAAATTTAAAACCATTTTTTACCCTGGGAAATATGATCTGGAGAAGCCACGGAAAAAAAACACCTTTCTGGGGAATTAAAATATAATCAATGGACCCTTGAGGTTGTCTGTTTTCTAATTAAATTAATTCATATATATATATATATATATATATATATATATATATATATATATATAATGAAGTGGACATTGAAGTCAACATCTAAAGGCGACAGTTTGTTTCATGTTAAATGACAATCGTAAATTTGCCGATTCCATATAGCATAAAACAGTCTGTCGACTCTGCGTGTTGACGTCAATATTGACTTTTATGTTTACATACACTTTATCCCTTATATTAAGAGATTAAACCCATAAGTATAGCATACTTTAAAACTGTTAGAAATATATAGTTCCGGCCTATTAATCATTTATTTATTTACTAATTTTTTACCCCTTTATATTATGAGAGTTGCCTCCCTTGAGATAATGTTCACTTTCGATTCCAAATTCAAATTTAAAATATTTTTTATTTATTTATTTTTTTAATTATTTTTTAATTCTTCGACATTCGAACTTATGAATTTGAACGATATAAATTATAAATAGTTAATTCTATATTTTAAATAGCCAAGTTTGTAAAGACAATTTTGAATCACCATCACAGGAATGCGACAGATGGCCATCAGAATCTCCACGCCTGAATATTGTATTAACGGCATGGAACTCTGAGTAGTGTTATCGACGTTAGATATTATGTATTATGTCGGAATAGAACTTACTTCTTACTAATGAAATACCAAAGTCCATGTGTCCATTACATGAAACTCAAAACAACCAGGATGGCATATAGCGTAAAAATGTCCACCGGGACGTCACCGTTGTGTATCTCACACTTTGTCTTGCCCATTTTGCTGACATCTATGCATTTCGAATACCTGACAAATAATAATAACAATATCGTAGGAACACTTCCGGTAGGAGGCATAAACGTCCGAACCGCCATGATTACAAAAAATATTATATCTCAAAAATGCACTGAATTATTCTCTTCATTCAGGCGTCTTATAAGAATACAGTATTACTGCTTGAATATGATACATTAGAATTAGAATTCTATGTCCAGGTTTTTATCATCCTGTCCGCCATTGAATTCTTTCTTCGTTTAAAGCTTTTGTTGCTGTCTTCAGTTTTCCAGTATCAAAAAAAAAATAAAATAAAATAAAATAAAAATAAAAAAACAAACCAAAATCAAATAAAAAAACAATAAAAGCGCCAAATTTTATTCAGAAAATCTTATGTAATTGTTAAAATTTTATTTTCTGTTCAATATCTCATTTGCCATGCGATAGTCTATTTTCCTTTCCTTATCTATCTATCTATCTATCTATCTATCTATCTATCTATCTATCTATCTATCCCTTTCTTTCTTTCTTTCTTTCTTTCTTTCTTTCTATCAATCCCTATTTTCTTTCTTTCTTTCTTTCTTCATATCTATCTATCTATCTATCTATCTATCTATGTTATTTTTCCTTTCTATCTATCTATCTATCTATCCCTTGCTTTCTTTGTTTTTTTCTTTCTTTCTTTCTATTGATCCCTATTTCCTTTCTTTCTTCATATCTATCTATCTATCTATCTATCTATCTATCTATCTATCTATCTATCTATCTATGTTATTTTTCCTTTCTATCTATCTATCTATCTCACAATTTCTTGATTTATTTCTTTATTTCTTATATTCTTTTTATCTATCTATACATTTATTTCATTTTTCTTTCTTTCTTTTGTTCGTTCTTATTTTCTTCATCCCTATGTATATATGTATGTATCTATCTATCTCTTTCTTTATTTCTGTCAAATTCTATCTATCTATCTATCTATCTATCTATCTATCTATCTATCTATCTATCTATCTATCTCTTAAATTCTCTTTCTTTCTTCACATCTATCTATTTCTTTCTTTCACAATCTCCTCAATTCTTTCTTTCTTTGTTTATCACTCTCTTCATATCTATCTATCTATCTATCTATCTATCTATCTATCTATCTATCTATCTATCTATCTATCTATCTATCTCTTTCATTCTTTCTTTCTCCATATCTATCTATCTATCTCTTTAATTCTTTCTTTTTTCACATCTATCTATCTATCTATCTATCTATCTATCTATCTATCTATCTATCTATCTATCTATCTATCTATTTATCCTCGTGGATTTTGCAGGAGGCGGTTGTATATTATGTCTCCACATTCCAAACTATGTCTGAATCAAGCAAACATAGAATTCCAAATAATCCCCAATATACACCAAACAAAAGACTTCCTAACAATATGCAAGAACGATGTTCACTCTTCCTATTTTATTTCTATTGATTTTCAGAAATAAATTTCAAAAACTAAAAGCCGCACAGAAAACAATCAGCCGGTTTTCTCTTTCTTGGACAGAAATAATTTTGATAGTAATAATCTGCAATTTTATTCCCCAACTATTTACCGTTTATGTAAATGGAATACTCGTTTCTATGCGTTTTAAACTGATATTCGTTTGACAGTGTATATCCTACAAAAGTCGATGAAATAACCCATTATGCGTTTTTCGGACTGTGAGTTCCTATTACAATTCATGATCAAAAGATAGTTTATTGGAATTTCGTTGTTTGTAGGTTATTTAACAAAAAAAAAAAAAAAAAAAAGAAAAAGAAAAACAGTCGTCGATAGAGAAAGTTTTATTAAATTTCAATGATTAGTGGAAAATCGATAGTTTGGAAAAAAACTGCGCGTGCAATCGGATATTCAAATTCGATTTGCCTATTTTCATTCTGCAGTGTTTAAACATAAAAAAAAATAATGAAAAATGTGTTTATACAGGATGTGACGGAAACGCCGGAAATTCCACCCCTCCAACCCCCACCCCGGATTCTTTCGAGAGGTTTGGCAGAGGAGTCGATGGATGCTGCAGATGTAGTATCTGTTTCAAGCCGGGGGCCTTCTCTCTTCCCTTGCTCCCCACCACCGTGTGTGACATCAGTTACGTAGCGATGGTATGACTCAGATAAGCTTTGACAAGCTAGGACCAGCCTAGACAAACTTTAACAGCTTGGACAAGCTAAGACCAGCTTAGACAATCTATGACCAACTAAGACCAGCCTAGACATTGACTAGCTTAGACAAGATAAGAACACATTAGAGAAACTATGACCAGCCTAGACACACTTTGACCAGCTTAGACAAGCTAAGACCAGCATAGACAAGCTATGACCAGCTAAGAACAGCCTAGATAAACGTTAAGCAGCTTAGACAAGCTAAGACCAGCTTAGACGAGCTACGGCCAGCTAAGACCAGCCTATACAATCTTGACCAGCTTAGACAAGCTAAAACCAGATTAGATAATCTATGACCAACTAAGACCAGCCTAGACAAACGTTGACCATCTTAGATAAGTTACGACCTGATTAGACAAGCTATGACCAGCTAAGACCAGCCTAGACAATCTTTAACCAGCTTAGACAAGCTAAGACAAACTTAGACAGGCTATGACCAGATAAGACCAGCCTAGATAAACTTTGACCAGCTTAGACAAGCTATGACCAGTTAAGACCAGCCTAGACCTTACCTGCTTATACAAATTAAGACCAGCTTAGACTAGCTATGACCAGCTTAGAAAGCCATGGCCAGCTAAGAGCAGCCTAAAGAATCTAAGACCAGCATAGACAAACTACGACCATCTAAGACCAGACTAGGTAGACTTTGACCAGCTAGCATATGCTAAAACCAGATTAGACACGCCATGACCAGCTAAGACTAGCCTAGACAATCTTTGACCAGCTTAGACGAGCTATGAGCAGCTAAGACCAGCCTAGACAAACTTTGACTAACTTAGACAAGTTAAGACCAGCTTAGACAAGCTAAGACTAGCCCAGACAAACTTTGAGCAGCTTAGACAAGCTAAGACCAGCTTAGATAATCTATGACCAGCTAAGACCAGCCTAGACAAACTTTGACCAGCTTAGATAAGACCAGCTTAGACAAGCTATGACCAGCTAAGGCCAACCTAGACAATCTTTGAGCAGCTTAGACAAGCTAAGACCAACTTAGACAAGCTATTACCAGATAAGACCAGCCTAGATAAACTTTGACCAGCTTAGATAATTTATGACCAGCCTAGACAAGCTATGACCCGCTACGACCAGTCTAGACCTTGACATGCTTATACAAAGTCTGAAGTGCCTGTTTGTAAAATACTATAAATAAAGACTTATATTTAATATTTTTTTTTGATATTTTCAAAATCGGGTATGATATACCCATGGTTAGTAGTGATGTAACTTTAATTGATGGTTAGTGTTCTAGGGTTAAACTGAATAGAGTTTCTAATGAATTTAGTATTTAAAATGGACATATAAAGTAGATATGAAAATTGATCATCTTACATCATGATATTTACGAAACTAGTATTATAAATAATGTTTCAAAGAAATGATTTACGTATTTACACTGAATAGAGTTTCTAATAAGGGTACTATTCTAAATGGATAAAAAAAAGATTTTAAGTTTGTTTATCTTGCCGTCAGCGAAACGATAGGTACCAAATTAGTAACCATTAGTTTATACGTTCAAATGTTTGTTTGTTTTTAATTATTTCTTAATATCAGAGTTTGGTAAATTATGTCTTGATTTTACTATTAAATGTGTTTATCTCCTAATTCTATCAGTCCTTGTACATGAACATGGAGCCAGTTAGTTTGACCAGTTTCAATGGGGACATCTTTCTTCTGGATATTCCTCGTGATCGGAAAGACCGAGTTCTGGCAATAATGAGCCTTTGCAAAACCGTAGTCGAGGAATATCTAACAGAAACTTCGGCAGAATTGGTAAACACAGTTCGATTCAAGTCACGCTTCGATCATAAAATACAATTTCATGAGGCAGGAAATTTTCTGAGATGAATTGTCAGTATTTGTATTATTATATAAAGCTTCTTTTTTTTTTAAATTTTAGAGATATTTTTAAGTCTGTCATTGAATTAAGATATACATGGACACACCTAGACATACATAAACACACAATTTGAAGGAAATTGAAAAGGACATAGAAGTCATAAGAGTTAATTTCACTTTCTGTCTGGCAATAACTCCTGGTTAACAGGAAAAAAAGCATAAGCTGTCTCTTTGTAGTCGTTTTTATGTCTTTTGTATTTCAACCGAATATATTATGTAATAAATGTAGTATTTTAAATAGACAAACAATTTAGATATGAAATTTGATCATCTTGCAATCAGAAAGATAATGGCGACCCTCTTAGTTTATAATGTAAGATCACTGAAATTATTCACTAGTTAATACTTTGACTTGAGTTTTTGATGAAGTTTTTAAAAAATTGTTTGAAAAATTTTTTCACTTACTACTGTGCATAGAGGTTGATAAACGTGTCACAGTGCCACTGTTGTGGGACACTCAGTGACAAACTCACTTAAATGACTGATGTAATGAATATGCATACACCTGAGTTTCCCCTCACAGTCATATGATTGGCTGGTGTCAGCCATAAATACAGACTGATGTGGAGGTACATGGAGGACGCCTATTGTCTTTGCCTATTGACTACACCTATTGCCTACCGCTACGACGAGGACCAGTCCATTACGGTTACCTGCTAGATTGTCCAACTCGGTTACAGTAGTTCAAAACCACTTTGCTATTTCGAACAAATATATCCCTTTCCGGGACATATCACTGATATTAGTCAAGTTTCTGCCTGAATTTCTGAGATGAGTTGTCAGTACTTGTATTATTTACTGTTAGACTATTATCTTCATTTTTAGTGTTATAATCACAATGTTTTAACTGTTGCACCCTTCATCAAATCTTTGATAACCTTCAGGTAATTTCAGACTGAACACTTCAGTCTACTAATCTTGGTATTGCTTTTTTTTTAACTAGTTTTTCATTTTGTTTATGTTGTTTCTTTACACCCTTGAGTAAAATGACTTCAGTTTTCTGAATTTCCAAGATGAAACTGTGTCACTAATATTAATTTTTGTCTCCTCATCTTTTTATCTTATTTCTCTGGCTTCTTTATATCTTCGAGTAAAATATCTTGTGTTTTCTGAATTTCTAAGATAAAACCTTTTGACTAATATTAATTTTGACACTTCTTCCTTTCATCTTCTCTTGTTCCTTTATGTCCTCAAAGTAAAATGTCTTGTGTTTTTTTGAATTTCTAAGATGAAACATTGTGATGAATATTAATTTTTTGACTCCTTTTCCTTTTGTCTTATCTCTCTCTTTTTTTGCACCTTCAAGTAAAATCTTGAGTTTTCTGAATAGTAATAAGACGTAATAGTTGTAAGTTGTGTGAATTTCAAAGATGAAGCATTGTCATTATTGATAGTTTTGACAAGTATTTCTTTCATTTTATTTCTCTTGCTTCTTTACACTTAATAGTAATAATATAACACCACCTGTCACTGCCTATATCCAGTGGTGTAACCACATTTAGTGGTCTGGTCCTCAAGTTCTTAGGACAATGTTTTAACCAAAGAGATAAATCTGCACTGGTCAATGCTGATGTTTGTTCAATATAGTTGTTAGCTGCTGACAGCTTCAATTCATACCAACGCTGCCCACATTGTGTTCTTGATCTCAGAGCAGTGGGACATTGTAGTAATTACAGCGCTGGTTCTAGCCATGATATATTAAGAAAGAAAAATACCTTCACAATGAAAAAATAAAAACAAAAGATTCATGGGGTTAATCTTCAAATGATTTATATAACTCTTGGTACAACAAAAATTAATCCTTCCTACATCAATCTCTATAGTGACAATGTGCCTCACCTAATAATTTGGGTTCAAAGTTCTTCAGAATCAGGAAATCTAGTGGCAGCTGATGTGGATTCCAGAAGCACACAACACAATGTGTTGTTCTCAGCCCAAGTCTCCGAGCTCCCAAAGCCATCTGCTTATATGCACGTCAACCCAAAATTGGCATGGAGCCAAAGGCTTGGGTTTTGTTGAATTTTTACATTAATTCTAATAAGGGCTCTTTATTCCATATGTCTGCTTTCTTAATCAACTTTCCAAATTTTGACAATCATCCACCTTCTCATTAATAGTTACAGGGGTTGCTTTTCCTCTAACTCCCACCTGCTTCATTTCACATCTCACACCACCACTCCATACAGGCAGTGCCTAATTCTCCTTCTTCTGCCTAGCATTCAGCCTCAGCTCGCTTCCCAGAACATACATAACTGTCTTTGTGACAAATCTAATTTTAAAGCACGTAGGCGGAAGGGCAGTGTTTTATTTTAGTAACTAATTTTAATTCCGATTCTACTCTATTCTATTCTATATTTCTTTGTTCAGTGAAAGTATAAACCAAACCACC